CTTCATCGGCGTATCTGATGTCGTTTGCAGGTGAGGATGCTACTCGAATGGCTAAGTTTGTTGGCAGGTTTTGAGCGTAACGAATTATGACATCTTTGACATTGTACTGTATAAATTGTTCTAAATTTATGAGGAGATCAATAGAAAGGCTCGAATTAACATTGGAGAGTAAAATGAAACTTCTAGTACGCTTCTTAATTGAGGAGAAACTTGCTTTTTTGTCAGTCTTGTTTATACAGGTGTGTATGTTTATTGTGTATTAAATTCGCCTTGGCATATTTACAGGACATATGCTAGAGAAGATCCTTCATGTTTTTGAACAATTCCTTGCCTTGTGGTTTCCCAACAACACACTCAGCCTCCGATGCAGGTTAGTGAACCCCATGCTTTTTCCCTCAGTCCAATGATTGAAAAGTCTTAGTGATTGATTATACAATCTCTTTGTGCTCATTGCAAACTCCTCTTTTATGATGATTCTTTACGTACATGTAAATGCATTTATGTTTTAGGGTGTGAGCCACATTTGATTTGAGATTAACAAGAAGGGTGAGATTTATCTGAGGTGTCAACTATTGAAATACGGCTTGCCTCAAATTTACGCTTTTTCAGTATTGGAGTGCCTTGTGTAGCTTTTTCCGTACCGGAGAGCCTTGTGTTGGCACGAATACCTGTTGTGGCCCTAATTGTTAAATTTAAAGCTCTACAAATTAAGCAGATGAAGTAGATCTATAAACAATTAAGTTTCTAAAAAATAGACAGTCAAATAATACGTTACAAGATGCACTATTTTCATGAATTGAAATTTTTTTTTTTTTCATATCTATATATCTCGAAGTTGAGGTGATTGGTCTAAGGGTTTTTCGCATTGGAACAACTTTTTCCCATGGGTTTTTGGTGTGTGCCTCACTTAAATATTGTAAGGTTGACACTTTGTATAAACTTTTCCTAATAAGAAGCTATTTCCTTTTATTCCAATTCATGGAAATGCCTGGGTCCATGCCTAAGGAGGGGAATATAACATCCGGGGTGTTTTGGTAAGTTTTGCGCTGAGGGCAGCATAGACATATTGCCATTTTCTTGTGGGCACCATTGTTTTTAGGGTTGTTTACTCCACCAAACGGCTGCAGCCACTACTCAAGAAATATATCAACTGCCAGTCACACCTAACAAAATTCTTAGGCGGCTCAAACAAACAGGGCCTTATACCTTACACTAGTGAAATCCAACCATTACCTGTGTAAATGTTAGTATTATTGTAGTTTACTTGCCTATACACAAGAAAGACAACATGCACGGACAACATATGGCTCACCCGTTCCCAAGATTGACGGTAGATATGAGTCGTAGCTTGAATACGACCAACATTTAGATAGACTTTCCGTAGTGCTATGAACAGGACCAGCATATCCAACTGGTCAACAATTGGACAATGCTTTTGCTGATCCAGTCTAAAGTAAAAATATGATTTGATTGACAATCAAATATTCACATGTTTTTAAGCCCAACAAAGCTTTACAACTTATTTTGTATATACTTCACACTTTCAAACTCATATTCTATAGGGTGTGGTTTCTAGAAGGTTGCAACGGTAAACAATCCAATTAAGGAGTACCTCCAAATTTTATCATAACATCGAATTTTGGTGGAAAATTTTCTTAGAATCATTTGAAAATTTATTTTCATATCTAATTATAAAATTTTAAACTCTATGAAAATCTTGAAAATTGACATTCTAGATAATGTGTTACAAGGTGCAGTATTTCTGGGACTCAAAATTTTTTGTTTTTTTTCATATTCATGCATCTTGATATTGAGATGATCAATTAGAGGGTCTTTCAACATTAAAACAACTTTTTTTTATTAAATTTGAGGTGCATTTGTAATTGTACATTTTTAAAGTTGCAACCTGATATAAATTTTCTCCATTTCTACATTCCATTTGGGAAAACGTTTATATAAGGTTGCAACCTTAAAATGTAGAATTACAGATGCACCTCAAAAAGCTATCAGAAAAGATTATTTTAATATTGAAAAGCCTTCTAATTGATCATCTCGATATCGAGATATAAGAATATGAAAAAAAATAAGATTTTGAGTACAATAAATGGTGCATCTTGCAACATATTATCTAAAATGTCAATTTTCAAGATTTTCATATGTTTATAGATCTACTTGATTTTAACTATTTTTGAAGCGTACAATTTTATAATTTAATATGAAAATAAATTTTGAGATAATCCTAAGAAGTGTTTACACCAAAATTACATATAATGATAAAATTTAGAGGTGTGTCTTAATTGAATTGTTTAAGGTCACAACCTTATAGAAACCACACCCTTATATTTATTTTCAAAAAATTAAATCCATACGAGTTTTGACTAGATCAGACCCATGAGCAATTAACGGAAAAACCATTCTAAAAACATCACTTGCTATTGTTAGCCTCACACCATGTTCTTGACCCAACTCATGAGAAACGTGCCTACGTATATAGACAGGTATCATGTGTATATATGTTCCGATATAAAACCCACATGTATTTGAAAATTCAAAATATCAGTTTTGTCAAATTCACTTTGCTTTGGCCGAAGCCTTAGGAATTTAGGCCTATACCGAAGCAAAGTGAAGCCTGATGCTGCCGCTTTGGTATCTTTGAGCCGATTCAGCTTAAGCTTCAGCCTCTTCATCCTAAGCAGAGAAATATCTATATAAAAACATTTTTTTATTTTTTATTTTTTTTAAAATTTTTATTTTGATTTTTCGTTAGTTCTATATATTTTTATATTTAGATATCTAATTTAATTATGTTAAATTAAAAAATCCGTTGCGAAGTGTTGCATTTTTCTCACCAATCGAAGAAGACTCTGAATCGATTGTGACAACATTGCAAAAGATATCTCTATCCCACGGTTGACTGCCAAAGAAAATGAAATGCATGAGCAGCCCAAAGAAATATAGGTAGTTTTTTCATAAACATCAATACCTTGTTATAAGATAAATGATATTTGGGAACCTTAACCAACAAACCTAAGTGATGCATCTGAGTAAAATTTTAAAGGGCAAGGTTATGAAGAGTTAGTTGATTCATCTATTTTTATGCGTCCTCCACCAAAATTTTTCTTACAGATGGATTTTGGATATAAAATCTTTGAGGATAAGAATCTCACAGATGGTGAACATGAATCCAGAAAAAAGTAAAAATAAAAATAAGAAAATATTTCTGATACCATTTTTTTAACACGATTCATTTTAGATTTTGGTGGAGTTTCTAGGAGTCCGTTGATATCGATTCACTAGCATGCCCCTACTATTTCTTGCATATGGATTTTGGATCCAAATCTTTTGGGATCCGTAATTCATGGTATAACGATTATAAATATGAAAAATAATGAGTATTAAGATTTAAAAGGGTTTTCTTTGAGATATTTTTACACCCTCTTGGTTTATATTTTGACGGCTACTCTTTTTGAAATGTCCATCTTTAAGATAGACGTTTGATGCTATGGGAACGCATGCATCTCCAGACTCATAGAATACTTTACTTATAGATTTTGAGGGCGACACGGGTTAAATTTACATCCTAGATACTTATACATATCAAATACTTTTCAAATTTTAAATTGCCCGTTATCAAAGGGAAAGTATCTCGTCCACATGGATGGGTGGACAAGCACCCTTTAATAGTTGAGATTTCACAACGGCATATCTAATGGCCAAAAGCTAATTTCAGCATTTTATTTTTATCTTTTATTTAATATTTCTCTGAATTTTGAGGTGTAGGTTCTTTTTAAAAAATATAACTAACAAACTAATTAAAAAATATTTTAAATAAAAATAACTAGAATACCCCTAAATTTATTTCCATCAACATTTTCATTCAAAAAAATATTTTTATTCAAAAAAATGATTTTATTCAAAAACATATTTTTATTCAAATCTATTTATAGAAATAAAACTAAAACCCAAATTTGATATTAATAGTATTTTCAAATAAAAAATTAAAATGAAAAACAAAACTTATTTTTAGCCCTTAGATGAAGTTAGTTCAATCTAAATCAGTGACTTAAAAAATGCTGGGTCGACTCGGGAATCACCCGATCGGACCCGTGAATGAATCGCCTTGTGCCGATTCTGTCAATATATAAGAAATCGTACGGGTCTAGAAAAGAACCAACTATTTGGTACAGTAAAAATGTTGTTACTTACCTAAACGAGAAAAGAAACACCAATTCATTGATCCAGACTGGCTCCTTGCCGGGTCAGTATTTTTACACTTATGTTTTTGCCGAATCACTATAGTTTTCGTATAATAAAACAGCGATCCGGGCACTGATCTAGGCCGGTTTTTGCCCAATCCTAATAACCCATCCTCTTTTTAAAAGTGCTTGTCGCTTTTGAAAGCACCATTTTGGCCTATGAGATATGGGCATCGAAACACCAATATAGCAATCTTTTTATTTTTTTATTTTTTTTTATTTTTTTATGTATCAATATCTCGCTTTTCAGCAATTGTACTTTATCTCATGCGAGAATTCGGTGCTTAAATACTTATGCCTGTCAGTTATTGGGATTTTTAAAGGACCCGTTTCTATGCAGCCAAGCGTAGAATTGCAGGCTTATTAATAAATCTATTTTTGAAATAGATTTTTTTGGTTTAATTTTTAAAGACATGTAATTTCTAAAATGGAGAACATGAATATAAATAAATAAATAAAAATTTAAAACTAAAAATAATAATTCTAATAAAAAACATTTGGACCGTTAGTTTCTATTGTTTTTAGATGGAGCACCTACTTGCATTTATCTTTAAGATGGATGCTTTACACTTTTGAACCACATATGTAGTCATACGGTCCAGCCCGCATGATACAATTTTTCATTCTTAAAAAAACAATGTCTCACGATGATAAGTTTTTGTTAAATATTGCTATCGCATACACTGATATGTTCCTAAATATGTGTTTCACAAAAAATCCTTATTTGGTTACGAGGCAAAATTTGAAAGGGAAAGTTTTCTATATTTTTTCTACTGTATATAAATTATATACTTCATCTTATCCAGCCATCTGATTTGAATGGATGGTTGGGATGAAGCTAATTACAATGTTAAGCCTCTATATTGTTTTATTTTTTGTTTTTTTCTACAAAACATTTTGACAACAAAATTTGAGCATCCACTCCTCTCTTAAACTCCACCGGCAAAATATATAAAAGAACTATTTCTGATAAAATAAAATGATGTATTTTGGTCATTTTATTTTATCAAGAATATTTTTTTAATATTTTTTTCGGTGTGCCCCCTTGATATGATGTCATATGATTTGCAAAAAAAAATTAAAAATAAAATAATCTGAGATGTTGGATCTAGAG